CGGCCCCGTGCCCCGGCCCATCTGCCCCCCGGCAACGGCCAGACACACAGCTCGCTACGCCTGCCCCCGGGGTAGCGGCCCACCCGTGAACAAAAGCCAAGGGTCCTGCTGCCTGGAGCTCAGCGGGAGACAAAGAAAGAAGTAAACACATGAGCACGCGACGTGGTCTATCCGAGGGTGGTGTGCACCGCGGAAGGGGACCAGGGACGCAGCTGGAGGTCTGCCCCCTGAACCAGGGTGGCCGGGAAAGGTGACCTCCCGGAGGTGACATTTGCGCCAAGGCTTCAAGGAGGAGAAGGAGGGAGCAGGCTGACCCCCGCGAAAGGAGGGTCCAGGTAGAGGGAAGGAGAGAAGAATCAGGCATATTGTACATAAAAAGGCAGACTTCTGGCTGTCGTCATGGGCAATCCCGTGCTGGCCTTCTCGCAGGGCTGAAAGGAGAGCCCAGAACCCCCGGGACGGGCCTCCAGCTCTCTGAACACATCCAGCCCAACACGGACGGCAAGTGTGCGCGTCTGCCTGCAGGCAGCTGGTGGCGGGGGGGGGGGGGGCCCCCGCAGGCTTCTCCCCCGGGGTTGTCCCATGCTGGAGGGCCGTCTGTCGTCACCTGGGGACACGGTCTTGCCCATATCTCTGAGCTCCCCTGGGCTGCAGTGGCCCGCTCCTAACTGCTTCCAGCCCCTGACCCTCCTGACAGGGGGTGCTTGGTGGACCCTCGGTGAGCACCTGAGGGGGAGGGGCTTAGAGCTGCTGGCTCACCCCGGCTTCTGAGAGGTCTGCCCAGGATGGGCAGCTGGACCACGATCCTGACTCGCTGCCCCAGAGACGGAAAGGCCTGGTCAGGACTCAGACCCCTCGGACGTTAAAGAAGAAGTGGGCTGTAACATCTCTGTGCTCGTTCCTCACTGCTCTTTCCCTCGGGGGGTCTTCTCATCTCCCTGGAGGTGCTGCGATACGTGCACAGGATACACAGGCTTTGGGGTCGGAACGTCTCGGCTGCAAATCCCACCTTTGTCTCCTACCAAGTGGCGCAACCTCTGCTCGTGTATCAGGCGGGACCAAGCGGAAGCTGCGTTCCGAGGGCCCGCTCTGGAACAGGCACTGCCCACACTGTGGGTGACGCCCTCTGCGTGTGGGCCGCACACCCCGGCACGCCCAGGCCGAGAGCGAGGGTCCCACGTGGTGCACTTTCCGGAAGCTTCGCCCTACCGCTGCCTCGCTCTCCCAGGGAAGGGCGGGCGATGCTAGCGTCCAGGCTGCTGCTCCGCTGCGGCAGATACCTGCCTTGCGACTGGATCTCGCTCGCCCGGAGCAGCCGACTTTCAGATGGGGGATGAAACCCAGGTGAAGCCTCAAGGGCTCTCTCGCTGTCCTCGAAGGACCCTTTCTATGTCAAAGCAAAGAGTCCCCTTCACGTCGGCTTCAGGGATTAGCTCCTGATTGGTGCCCCTTTCCCAGCGTCCATCTCGGCGCCAATCGTGCGTGTCAGTGACATTTTCTGCCTTTGCTCATCTTTGCCGGCTAAGGAGATGCTACAGTACCGAGATCCATTTCAAGGCTTTTGACGAACAGCCATAAATATTTAAGCCTCCGCTTTGCCTATTTAGGAAAATGCCACCTAAGATAATTATCTTGCCTTTGCCTGACAGAAAGATTTACACAGAGGACAAGGTTATTTTCACCTCTGAGCAAATTCAGAAACTTGGAACCTAGATGGTCTTTTCTCTACCCTGCAACGATTCCTTGGGTGAAATATGCCAAATTCCTGGACCCTATGAAGAAAATGCTAGCGAAAGGCGGAACAAACTAAAGGTATTCCTGACGGAGCTCCCAAAGGAGCGCGGATCCTTCTTCATTGAAGGTCAACCGGCGTCTAGGGGTAGATTTTGGTTCCTGTTTGCGGCACCTCCTCTAGACGGGAAGCGCTTCCAGGGCAAGGCCCCGCGTGCTCTCTTTCTGTGTCCCCACAATGCCACGCTTGGTACAGCAAGCGTGCAGGAAGCTCTCTGGACACACAGGCTGCCCCGGGTTTGAGTGGCTCAGCGTGGCGGGCAGTGCGAAGGCCTGCAGGCGGCCTGAGCCTGGGGAGGCAGCTGGATTCCAGCACTTTTAGCAAACGTGGCCCCAGGCTGTTACGGACCGCCTCGGACACTCATCTGCAAGACAGGCCTGCTGGCCTGTTCCTCTACAGGGTTTGTGATGAGAAGAAAGTACAGAAGGTGCCCAGCACACAGTGGACACTCGATAAATGGCAGGTGCTCCCTGATTGCTTGCACAGTGGGTATACGGAGAGGAATGAAGGCTTACAGAACCTGCGGGTATCCGGAGCCAGAACATGTGATCCAGTGTGTATCAAGAGGCCCCAAGCTTGTTTTCCATAAAGCCCTCTTTGACGGCCTGTTCCCAGCATCCCTCTCCCTGATGGGTGTTCCCAGCATCCCTCTCTCTGATGGATGTTCCCAGCATCCCTCTCTCTGATACCATGTCCTCAGGTTCTTAGCATGACATGGCCAACCCCATGCAGGTGCGATCTCCTAAATGGCAAACAACTTCTCAGTTCAAAGGGTCTTTTCCAGGCCAACCTAGTCTCTGTTGGCCCAAAAAAGTGACCAGGAAGACAGCAATGGCCAGGGTCTTCTAGGACGGGCTTCTGGAAGACTGCAAGAGGCTCAGAACCCGATGTGGCAAGTGAGTCAAGTGAACGAAGGACCAACTTGCCTTGCGGCCGACAAGGCATGTCCCCTTGAGATGGGGAGATGACCCTGGATTATCTGGGTGAGCCCCATGTAATCCCAAAGGTCCTTAGGAGAGGGAGGCTGGAGGGCCGGGGCTAGAAAAGAGAGGGAGAGAGATTACAAGATGCTATGCTTCCGGCACAGAAGATGTAGAAGACCCATGAGCCGAGGGCTGCAGACAAGCCCCAGAGGCTGGACCAGGCACAGATTCTCCCAGAGCTGCTGGAGGCTGTGCAGCCCCGCCGACAGTTTGGCGCTAGCCCAGTGAGACTGCTCTGGGCTTCTGACCTCCAGAACCGTAAGATAATAAATTTGCCCTGTTTTAATCCACTAAGCTGGCGGTTGTTACAGCAGCCACATGAAATTAGCACCGCGAGGAACCTTGAAAGAAAAGGCAACCAACTTCAATTATTTGGACAATGTCATCTATGTGGAACGCTGTCACCCCTGGTGATGTCAGACGGCTGAGGTGTCGCTGAACACAGGAAGCTCTCTGTTTGAGCAGCAGGGACCTGGTCTTGAGGAAGTTCAAAAGCCACCTTTATTCCTCAAACTGCTGCCATTCCCTGTCACCAAGCTTTGACAGCAACTGGTGGGTGTTACCCAGAGTGGGCACAGCTAATAATCACAGCCTGTTTAATATGTGTCAGCCAGGAGAAGGCTTCAGAATAAATACTGCATCAGGAGGTTGTATTTTTTTCTGTACCATCTCTCTATCCTTCATGCTTGAGAAAGATTTAAGCTCATTATGTGCACGGAGATACTAAGGTGTGAGCTGTTTGCAGGGAAAGAGGTTACGTAGGTTATGTATCAAGAGAACATCCCATCTTTGCCCACATAATTCAGAATTTAAGTTTCTAAGTCAATGTTCTAAGCCTGTGTTCCTACACTGTCTAGGGATGTAACAGGCAAAACAAAGCCTTAACAAAGGGATAAAGATTAGCTTCCCTTTTGGAATAATGGGTATAACGAGGGTTGCCAGGTGCAAACACTGTACTAGGCACCTTAGTCCTCAGCAACTCTACAGGGCGGACACTGTAGAAACGGAGGCTCAGACAGTTTGAGAAACTTGCCGAGTTCCCACAGCCTGTAAATAATAAAGTCAGGAGTGCAGCTCACGCTGGTCGGATTTCCAATCGCGTGTCTTTCTGATTATTGCTACTGCCTCGGAGGTAAATGCACGACGAGGCGCCATGCCGAATAAACACCACAAAGCCACCCGACAGCGAACACGAGAGCTCTGCAAAGAGCTGAAGGTCGGCCTACCGTGGAATCCATCACCCGCTCCCCGCTGGAGCTCAGTGGGGAAGGGACGGTGCCGTCCACAGGGTCGGGCGTGGTCAGACAGGTGGCTACAGCGACCCAGGGTTCTAACCCACCCAATCACTGGCATGTAGGAAGCTTTGTAAAATAGGAAGATAAGCCACTCGATACGTGTCATGACGAAGACAATGCAGCGTGGCCACTGCTGGCAACACACAGATCTTGGAGCCACTTTGCTCAGAACCACGTGGGTGTGCTCTTCCCATGATCCAGTGCAGTGTGCCGCTGAGAGCACCAATCACTGATTTTCTGACACAGAAACCAAACTTACGGTCACCAAGGGGAAGGGGGGGATAAATTAGGAGACTGGGATTAACATATACACACTACGGTACATAAAAGAGATAAACAACAAGGACCTACCGTATAGCACAAGGAACTACATTCAATATCTTGTAATAACACATAATGGAAAGGAAATCTGAGAACGAACCTGAATATATATACGTATACATCGATACGCACACGTTTATATAACTGAATCACTGTGTTGTACACCTGAAACTAATGCATTATAAATAAACTATACTTCAATAAAAAAATAAACAAACCATAACAAAACAAAAGATAAATCACTCTGATTTTGCTAAAGAGGCATCACCGGGACCACCTCTGGCCCAGCGTTTCCATGCAGGGCCGTCTCACAAGCAGGAGCCTCCCTTCTTTGCCCCCAGTGTTTCTTAAGCTGGTTTGCTGGTGGCCACGTAAGAAATACGTCCTACCACGCATGCATCTCACACGTACGTGTAACAAAAACAAAAGTTCCGTGAACCAAGGCGTACCCTTACTCTGCGTGGGGAGCTCTCGTGGTTTCTTTTTCTGTATTATTTATTCCCCACATATCGACTTGGTGATTCAGGGATGACTCTACATCCTACGAGGGGGCTGTGTCTGTAGCTGGAAAGCCCTTGGTCTAAAAAACCAGGCCAGTCGGGGTCCTACCTCCGGGGCGATGTAATCTGGGGTCCCGCAGAAGGTCCTGGTCGTGACCCCGTCCATCATGTGCTCCTTACACATCCCAAAGTCCGCAATCTTGATGTGTCCTTCCGAATCCAGCATGACGTTATCTAACTTCAGGTCTCTGCAAAGAAGCGGGTGGCATCAGCGTCCTTCCCATAATGTCACATGCTTTGCTCTGCTGCTCGTGAGACAGAAGCGCCCGTGAGTGGCTGCGCCCCAATGGCACATTAACTGTGGTCACAGGAGTGCTGGGACCGGGAATTAGGACTTATTTATTTTTCCATCTCTAGAGCCCAGTGTAGTGCCTAGCATGCAGCAGGTACTTAATAAATGCAGACTGAACGAATGACTAAATGACTGAGCTAGTGATTCCCGACCTTGGCTGTGCAGGTGAATCACCAGAGATCCCAAATGAGCAGCTCTGAGGAGACCCCAGTCACCGGTTTATTAGTGTCCCACCCGGAGAGATCAGACACACAGCCAGGTGTGCAAATCACGGGCTCAGAACAACCTCACTGGGTCACCCGCATCCCTTCCATTCTGCCCCGTGCTGCATGGTCTTCTAATTACTCTCCGCTTAATACTGGAGAACATTCTCCCTTCACCGTAACCAACAACGGGAGGAACCGAATCCAACAGTTGTCCCCTTCCCCTCCCAGCTCCCGTGTTCCTCCGCGGAGCATCACCAACAGAAATGCAGCTTTCACTGGCCCCTCACCTCTGTGCCAAGTCAAAGGCAGAGGAAGGAGCTGGCAGGGAAAAGAAAAGCACGTTTTCTTGCGGAAGCAGAAATGAGATAAACGATCTTGTGAGGTCCAGGAACCAGAAGGTGGTTCGGATTTGCCCGGAGGCTGTGGAAAGAATGGTGGTCCCCGCAGGTCTCCGTGACCCGGGGCGTGGTGGTGGTGTGTGGGGGGGTCCGCTCCATGTTCTAAGTCCCCATCACAGAACTCACACCCACAGAGCCCAGAGGTCCAGCAAAGCCTCCACAGTGCTGCGGCCAGCAGGGCTTCGATACACACCTATAAATGATGCCTCTTTTATGAAGAAAGAACAACCCAATGGAAATCTCTGCTGCGTAGAACCTGCAAAAGAAAACACCTGTCAGGCTTGCTTTCTTTGGCCTCCTGGATACTTTTTACCCTCAGGATCGGGCATCGAAATGGCAAAAGCACGGAAGACCCTGGATGAGCAGAGCTCAGCACTGCCCTACGTGTGCCGTCAAGCCTCTGCCGTTTCATGACTCCAACCTCCCCAAGGAATGATACAGCTAGTAAACTCAATGAAGCAGGTTTATCACCTGTCCCCAGATAAGCGCTTCTTGTCTGGGGCAGGTAGACAGGTAATTACTGCTTAAAAGACATTCTGAATACGATCTTTTAAAGCGTGGCTGTTTGCTGGGCTGTTCTGTCAGGGCTATGGTAGATTGGAGCAAATTTCCACTTTCCTATTCAACGGCAGAATGCATTAGTGTTTGAAAATACACTTGTGCCCTGGAAGACAAAAGGACAGGGTGTGATGCTCTCTGCAGGTGGTTTACTCACCTCCTCAGCCCTACCCCAAGCGCTGGGAGAAATGGGACCCACGCCAGGATTCAGACCTGATGCACCCTTTTTATTTTTTTCATTCTTACAATAGTCTTACAATTTTTAAAAACTTATTTATTTATTGGCCGTGAGGCACGTGGGATCTTAGTTCCCCGACCAGGGATCGAACCTGCGCCCCCTCCATTGGAAGTGCAGAGTCTTAACCACTGGACTGCCAGGGAAGCCCCCTGATGCACTTTTTAAAATAATTCATAATAAAAAGCAGTTACTGCCTTCGCTTCAAAATTGTTCAGGGGTCAATATCTGAAACTCCGAATGAGTGCTGAAGGAGGTTTTAAAATTTGCACAGCGTTTAGGAGTTCTTGACGTCTAAGAAGACACAAGATGCTGCCCGTGTAAACGTCATACCCGGGAGGCTTCCAATAAGCACACGTGTTTACATGAGCAGAGAAACAACATCAAACCCTCAACGGGGGGCAGGGGGGCACCTCTGAGGGCTGGCAGGAGAGGGGGGGGCCGAGGAGGGAGAAGGGGGTCACAGATGACGGTCATATGATTTTTTTGTGCTTTTCTATATTTTTAAAGTGAAAAGCTTTCCAGCAGCACAAATACAAGGGAGTGGTACTAATGGGACGGCCTGTTAGCTCATGATGGAAGGTGGCTCTTACAGCTCTGTGTTGTCAAGCTTCGTTCTGTAACCTGTGCATTTTAATGCTCTGTAACTAACAACACGAGAGAAAGGGCCACCCGCCCTCCGGTTTTGAGCATCCGCCCAAGAATGCCCCGTTCTGTCTCCAGCGAGCCTGCCCCAGACCGGCTCAGCCCGCACGGGCCGGAAGTGCCCCAGGCTTATCTCTTTCAGACTGAACATCGGCCGGAACCCGATTAACGTTTGCCCACTCGATTCATCAGGGCACCTGCGCACTGGGCATCCTCACTCCAGGGACAAAAGAGCTGTGTGTTTAGATTTGCTTCTGTGAGTTGCCCGTGGCTTCCTGGCCCCTGGAAAAGGGGGTGATTCCTCAGGTCTCAAAGCCTCGCCTCTAGATAGATGATTCTCTGTCTCCCCCTGGAGCCCACATCTCTCTCCGGGGCCGCCGATGCCTGCATCCCACTGAGACCTCCTAAGTGATCCCCCGCAACCTGCTCCTCCGGACGGCTGCCCCTCCCCAGTCTGCAGAGGGGCAGCACCTGGAGACGCTCCTCTCTCCTCACCCCCAGGCCCCAAGTTCTGGTTTTCTTCCTCCAGAAAGTCTCTCCATGCACTGGCTAGGCTTAGGCTCCAGCCTGTGTCCTCCACACAGACTGTCACCTGCCCGGCCTCCGCCGGCCATCCTTCCATCTCCTCTGGGCCAGGGCCCCGTGGAAACTTCACCTGATGCTGCCAGGCCCCCCTGAGGCCCCTTCCAGGCTCTCTTGTTCCCCAGCCAGGCCCTCTGCTCGGCCCATCACCCAGAGCCCCTTTATTTGTTCAATTAATGAGTGAATGGCTCGATCGACAGGCGTGGAATGGGGTGACAGGGCATCTATACACCTGCATCTCCAGCTTGCCGGAAGTGGAATAAACTGCTCCGGAGGAGACGTTTAGGTGGACCCTGTCAACCAACCTGCCCCCGGGAAGGTGACGGTATTCCACCCCAAACCGGGCACAGCCCTGCCTCCAGATCCCCCCGGCAGAGGCTCCCGGGTGGGAGTGCCACGCGGTCTACGTTCAGGGGCTCAACTACAAACTACTCACACTGCTTGCGGTTCCTTAAATTTTCCTACTTGCTGGATGTGGTACATGAGGTCCCCGCCGTTGACGTATTCCATGACGAAGTACAGCCGATCCTGAGGACCAAGGTTGACAGGTGAGCAGGCTGACAGCAGCAGCGTGGCGGCCTCCACTCTCCCAACGGTGCTCTGCTGTCTCATTAGTAAAACGTGGGCCACACTGGCGGGTGTGCCCAGTAGAGTCGGTCCCGGTTTTCTCCCCCAAATAAAGAATAAGTAATAAGCCCTATCGCGTGAGGCCCTTGGGACGCACAGAGTCACGACGTAACCCTGAAACGACGGGTTACGTCAACCTGTCTGCTCCCAATCGGAGGAACGGCCTCCAACCTTCCCTCTTCTCCTACACGCAGAATACACTTCTAAGTTAGGGACGGCGTGAAGGGTCCATATGGGCCAATTACTTCGTCTTAACCAGTGTCCTGGTTCGCAATGTCTGGGAGGCAATGCCACGGTAAAGTAACGTGTTTACCCAGACGCTCCTGACGGCAAACTCGTGGTGAGGTCGTGCTTGTACCTTACACATGCTCAGTGACGCTCACTGTGAGGGACGGGACTGTACGTGGAGCGCTTAACCCAATGTTCTCTTCATGCCCAAGTGTTGTTTTTCATTTTCTCTGTCACTGATATGCCAAGTGCTGGCCCCATGAAGCGCGTACATCACAGAACTAAGTAAACCTGCGTATTTATGAGGACAACACGCTGGGACAGACAGGGAGACTGAGTGGGTGCAGGAGGAAGTAACTGCACGGCACAGGTAACAGCTGACCTCTGCTCTCTTCCAGAAAACACCACCATTTCACAGAGGTTAGTACACATTAAAGCAGTGCACAGGAAGAAAGAAAAATGATGCAGCTGCTGCCAACAGCCAGGGAAGTGGCTCTGGGAGCTTCAATCTCTCGCTTTCCTGTTACAAACTGTCATTTCAATTTTATTTCTCTGCTTTGTAGCTTTCCAGAGCTTCATCAGTGTAACCAGGGTTACGGGATCTGGGCTGGGTTTCTTTCTCTTCTCTGCATATCGCTAACCTCCCCCCTTGGCGCTACCTAGGAGCTGCCTCTGGGAGCAGAGGGCCGGCCGGCTGCCAGCAGCAGGCTGACCCTCAGCGGCCGGGCCCCGACCCTGCGGCCCCACTGTCCACCCGAGGCTCCAGGGTGCTGCTCTGCGAGTAGCCATGACGGCTCCTGAGTACTGAGCCACATCTGCAGGAGGACAGCCGCGGAGGCGTGCAGAGCCCGTCTTTGGGAATGGCCTCACCGTGGTGCCGAGTTTCTACTTCTTGTAGGTTACTCGCGAGCACCATGCCAGGGTCCCACGACCAGCTAACTAGCGCTTTGGAGATTGTTGTGTCCTCTCTTCAGTTAACCTATACGGCAGGGCTCAGCAAACATTTCCTGTAAAGGGCCCAAGTGAATACTTTAGGCTCTGTGTGTGTCCTGTAACTACTCAGCTCTGCCTTTGCAGCATGAAAGCGGCAGATGCTGGGTAAGTGAAGGGGCAGGGCTGTGTCCCGAGAAAACTATTCATGGACCTTGAAATCAGAATTTCATCTAATGCTCGCACGTTACAGAACAGTCCTTTGTCTAAACCTTTCTCAGAGCTCACAGGCCATACAAAACAGGCCAGGCGGCCACCCCCTGCTGTGTGCATTCCAGAACATACTCTGTCACGAGGGTGGGTCTCCTGATGCTCTGACACCTGGATCGGGGGTCCTAATGAGCCAGGACTGTGAGTTACTGTTTTGTCTCTCTAAGTCTTAACACTGCCCGGTGTGTGTTTAGGAAACCTTTGCTCTAAGCTTTCACGGAACTAAATGGAACTAACACTAACTCTCTAAGGAGGGCACATCACAGAGGGGGATGCCCCGAATCCGCCAGTGGTACCCGGGCTGCTCGGCAGAGGAGGACGTGGGGCTGAGAGGTCCCCACGCTTCGTCTGTTCCCAGCCTCTTCCCAGGAGGAAGGCTGGCTCGGACTCCGAGGACCCTGTGCGGTTGGGGGCAGCTCCCGAGGGCCCTTACCACCGTCTGGAAGCAGGAGTGCAGCTGCGTCAGGAACGGGGGCTTGTCCGGCAGGGCCAGCACCCGCTTCTCCACCAGGGTGCACTCCACATCGTCGTCCTGGATCACCACGTCCTTCTTCAGTATCTTGATGGCGTACAGCTCCTCCGTCCCCTTCCTGTCCGCCAGCATCACCTGCGGGCAGACCGAGGGCAGCCTGAACGCTCCCGGCACACGGCCGGCATGGGGGCGGGGAGCCGCTCAGGCCGTGCGTGGGGCTCGTCGCTGTTAATAAGGCTCCACCCCGTGTGCCGGTTTTGAAATACTGCTCGTCGCCGCACGGGAATTCCTCAGGCTGCCTAGTTTCTACGCTGCCGAGGTTTAGACTCCGTGCGGGCTGTCGCCACACGAGGGCGCCACTGCAGCCTCTGAAAGGGATACTCGACGTGCTCTGCAGGAGTCTTGCGTCAGGCACGTGTTACAGGAGCGTCCTCAGAGCACAAATGTGACTGACCTTTGTACCCTTCTCACAAGTCAGGAGCCAAGTCCAGAAAAAAGGGGGCAGGATCAAAATCAGTGCCTGGATCTACCATGAGATATGGGGCCAGAGAAGCAAACGTAGGTACACAGGCCGGCCACTGAAGAAACCCAGTTCAGCATCTGTTAATGATTACGTTTGCTTACTATGAGTCAACATTTAATTTTTTTTTTTTTTTTTTTTTTGTGGTACGCGGGCCTCTCACTGTCGTGGCCTCTCCTGTTGCGGAGCACAGGCTCCGGACGCGCAGGCTCAGCGGCCATGGCTCACGGGCCCAGCCGCTCCGCGGCATGTGGGATCTTCCCGGACGGGGGCACGAACCCGCGTCCCCTGCATCGGCAGGCGGACTCTCAACCACTGCGCCACCAGGGAAGCCCCAACGTTTAATTTTTAGTTGTGAAAACTACTCGTCCAACATTCTGGAGAACCCACTCCGTCATGCGCCCAGAAACGGAGACACACCAGGAGCCTCGTGTGGCTTTTTGGATACAGTTGCTTTTAATGAAATGGAAGTGGGAAACCACCGGGAAACGTGTGCAGAGCACAGGGAATCTGAAGGGCTGCTCTGGAATCCTCGGGGAGAACAGGACTGACCCCAACGTTCTCTGCCAAAGCCTGGCCCCGTCGTGGACCCGGCTCTCTTACCTTCCCGAAGCTGCCCTTGCCCAGCACCATGAGGAAGTTGAAGTCGGTGAGTTTCACTCTGTCGAGGTTGTTGGAAGGCTGTCTCCTGTCAGGACTAATGCCTTTGTAGCCAGCAGGGCCGAGCTTGGCTTTCTAAACAACAAGCACACACGTGAAAACCGTCAGTCGTTCTCCCAGGGCAAAAAGTGACAGAAAACTCTGTGGCTCAGCTGGGTACTGTGTGGGGATGGGATGGGGTGAGAGAGGGAACCAGGGTGACGAAGCATCTCTTCCTACCTCCGTGGCTATACTCACCCTAACGGCAACGTTTTCAAAGGAGCAAAGGGTTGCCCGTACTCATCACAAGACGACTATGTCTTTTTTTAATTAATTAATTAATTTTTGGGCTGCATTTGGGTTGTTGCTGTGCGCGGGCTTTCTCTAGTTGCGGCGAACAGGGGCTACCCTTCACTGCGGTGCGCAGGTCTCATTGCGGTGGTTTCTCTTGTTGCGGAGCACGGGCTCTAGGCGCGCGGGCTCAGTGGTTGTGGCTCGCGGGCTCTAGAGTGCAGGCTCAGTAGTTGTGGTGCACAGGCTTAGTTGCTCCGCAGCATGTGGGATCTTCCCGGTCCAGGGCTCGAACCCGTGTCCCCTGCATTGGCAGGCGGATTCTTAACCACTGCACCACCAGGGAAGCCCGACTCTTTGTGTCTTTAACCGAGAACCAAGTCACAGGACTCTGGCAAAGGGAGGGTTAATTCTCACCCAGGGATGGAAAGGTTAACTTCTTGGGGAAAACGGGGCTTTGTGACAGTTAGTGTAATAAAAGAAATAAACTATGTACTGATGCTTTCCTTATTTGCAGATTTTCCAACTTAAGATTAATCTGCAGAAACCCATGCAGGAAGGGAGAGTGTGTCCTCTGGAGAAACACTGCTTAAATGGCAGGCCGCGGGGGTGAGTTATTGCTACTTTAAAAGGTGCCGTAAGAAGAACAGAGGGTTGGTTTTTTTGGGGTTTTTTTTAGGTAAAGAGCTGGACTCGTGAAGAATGGTGACGTAAGAGCATCTGGTTTCCCACGAAGCCCACAGTGCTCTTTGCACCTGAAGATTCCTGGGTCGTGACCTGTGAGTTACCCCAAGGAGTTCTCATCCACTAGACTCATGCTGTGTAAAGACCACCCCTCGGTACTCTCACGGGGAGTTAGAGTCTCAGGTCAGAGGTGAAAGGTGCAGAGAAGACAAGGCAAGGGGACCACACGGGGCATCTGGGCTGGTGGGGGAGACCGTGGAGGCGCTGGAGCAGGTGCGGGCTTCCCCACAGGCTGAAATCCACCTGCCGGGGAGGTGCCGGTTGCCGGTCAGCAGCTGGAAAGGCAGCCCTGAGCCGAACGGCAAAGACTCTGGGGCTCTGGCCCTGTTCTTAATGAGGGGGTCCAGCAGATCTGAGCAAGGGCAGCTCTGGCTCCCAGGGAGATGGCAGGAGGTGGAGAAGGCTCTCGAGAGCTGTTGTGTATGACCAGAGCGGCCCCAGCCCTTGGGGGGAAACGTGGATTACTTCTTTAGCAGCAGAGGAGGCTCTCAAGGAATCACCCACCCTCCCTATGCGCAGGAGCCCCTCATGCACAGTTACTGAGTGAGCTGCTTGCAGCCGGCTCTGCTGGGGAGGTCTGCGTTTGCAGAAGGAGCCCGTCAGCCGCCTCCGCAGCCCCAGGCCCGGTCCCGCGCTCGGCACGAGCTGTGCACTCAGCATTATGGTAGAAGGAAGAAAGAAGTGAAGCCCGATCGTGTTCATCACATGCTGGGCTGTTAGGTGACGCTTTTCTCTGATCAAAATAACCCATTCGTAGAGAGATCAAACCCTGGGGCTTGAGTGCCAGCTCGGATGAACTGAGTGAACCCATCCAAGCAGAGGCACTAAAACATGGGGGAAGGATGGCCCAACTCTTTTGCTTCAAGGCTGGAAGTATTTAAGGCAGTTGTACTAGGGCCCTAGTGACAGCGCACGTGCGAGGTGGCGGGAAAGACGCGTGAACCTGGGACCACTGGAAACACAGATGCTCCAGAGAAACGACACCTGAAGGAGCCCTCAGCAGGCCTCCCCGTTGGCAGAGGGTGGAAGGAGTTTTCAGACAGACTTGTGAGGAGCCAGGACGTCACCACGTGGGTTACGTTCACCCCCCTCAGCTGCAGGACCAGCCCCGTCCTCCAAACATCGGCCCAAGAACGAGTCCAACTTGTAAGCCTTGTCCTTTGTGCCCAAATTCAGATGATCAGGAAGCGCAAGACGGGAGCACCGACTGCGCGCCTCTAGTCCGCTCTTCCAACGGCCACAAAGGAACAAGGGATCAGAAAGCGGCACAGAGACCTTAATTTCATCGGGAACTTCACGACAACGTCTGAAAAGGCCCACATGCGGCGGCCTCACGCTCGAGGTGCTGGAACGGCCGAGAGGGAGCAGGAACGTGCCTGCTGCCGCCGAGCGCAGCTGAGGCCCTGAGCAGGTGCCCGGTGGCCCCGGTGGCCTTGCCCAGCCGTCCTGCCCCTCCCTCCTCTGGCGCTTCAACTCCAGTGCAGGAGGGGACACGGGCTGACGCAGCGAGGCCTCCAACCTGCCGCGGGGCTCACAAGCCCGCATCCGCCGCCTGTACCAGGGCCGCGGCCTTGGTCTCATTCCAGGGACAGGACACCCCTGCAGCCAGGTGCTCGGGGACCTCTGAAGCCGGATGCTGCTCTGAAATCAGTGTGTGGGGTCTGGGATGGACGACTGGCCACGAGCGACCCTGACTCCAAGGCGGACCACGAGCCCGTGGCCACGGTCGGCCCCCAGCGCGGGGAGGCCCCCAGCCCCAGGTGGCCGGAGGAAGAAGCAGCCTGGAGCCCTCAGGCAGCAGCCCTGCCCCCAAGTGCAGTTCGCCCCACAGACCCCTCGGCCTCAGCCCGCTGCCCAGGCTGCCCCCCGCCCAGGCCCTGCGGCCACCGCAGCTCTGGCCTTTCAAAGCAGCTCTCCGAACAGCAGAAAATCCCACGAGCTCAGAATCTCATTATTCTGGGCGGGCGTGACCTGGGGTGGAGGAGACGCCGGTGGGCCCCTCGGGAGCCGCGTCTCTGGGGGCGGCAGCGAGGCCTGGGGGCCGGAGGGCTGAGGACCCCAGGAGGGGCGTGGGCACTGGCCTGGCCCCCACCTTCTCACCCGTCCCCCCAGGCTGTCTGCGTGCGGCTCCGCCCCGGCCTGTGCCCCTCCCCAGGGTGCAGCTCACCTGTCACGCGGTCCTGCCCTCCCCCGTGGCGCCCTGGTCTCCTCCTAACAGCTCCCAGGGCTGCTGGCAAGCATTTATTTACCGCGTCTTTACGTGACTGACGTCTCACTCGACAGCGACCCTGTCACACCAGATCCGCCTCCAGACTTGTCCAGAATCCGCCCTCTCCTCAGGGCCTCCTCCTCGACCTCTCTGGCCAGTCCGGTCACCACCCCCCTCGCCACTCGCTGGTCTCCCCGCTTCCACTCTACCCCCCGTCCGCTGCCTGCAGGGATCCTCTTCCAGGGGATCCCGTCCTGGTCCCCGACGGCCCGTCTGGCGGAGAGAAAGGCCGAGCCCTCCCAGTGGACGAGGAGTCCTGGCTGGCCTAGCTCGGACCTTAACCGCCGCCCCTCTGGCTGTCTGTCCGGCCCCGGGTCTTTGGTTGGCGCCTTGCTGTCTGGTTTGTCCCCAAATCCAGCTCAAGCGGCACCCCTCTGTCACCCTGATGTCTCCATCCTGGGATCTCCAACCTGGAGCCAACACGGTCTGTGACCGGTCCACGTGCCCTGAACCTCTGGCTCTGCGCCCCCGTGCCTGCCTGGACTGGCCCACAGCTGCTGTCACGGATGTCACGTCATGCCACGTTTCCCCGGCAGGGCTGAGCCCCGTTCCCAGCTGAACTCTCGTTCTCAAAACCTTGTGGCAGAGCCGGCTTCCGGGAGGACCTCAACACACACTTGTACCTTCTTCTTGGGTTTGCTGATCTGCCTTCCTCACTAGGCCGTGAGGCCCCGGGAGACAGGGACCATCTTAGTCATCTCTGTATCTTCAGGCGCAGCAGTCGTGGGGCCCGTGCTCATACACTCACTGACTATCTCATTCACCCACTCAGACACGTGAACTCACGGGGAGCAGTGGGACTGACAGGATCGGACGGGGCCAAACCATGAGCTTGTAGGTCCGCCTGCAGCTGGGGCTCGCGGGGGAGGTGACAAGCGTTACCACAGAAAGGCGGCAGTTACCAGGTGGCCGCTTCTGAGAGCTGGCCCTGACGCCGCGCATCTGGACGTTCGTACCTGGTCACGATTCCTTCCCTCACGCCGTCGCGGGTCAAGCTGGGGCAGCCACAGGGAGGGGCCGCGAGGACGTCCCTACCTTCAGGGAGGATGACCACGTGCTGACCCTCCCCAGAGGCCACGCCAGGCCGGCCAGCAGGCCCTCGCGAGAGCTTCTCTGCAGGGACGCACCTCCCGTGAGTGGACCCGCTGGGATCTTGGACTGAAGAACAGCAATGACCTTCTGAGCCCAACCGGCCTCCGAGCAGGACAGAGACCTGCCCTTCCCGGCCTGCATACTGTTGACAGAACTCCGGGTGTCAGGAACGTAATTCAGACTCCACCAGGGGTGCAAACAAAATCAATGTATGTCCAGGGATACAGGGTCTCCCGGGAGAGCTGTGGGCAAACCCATGCGGCATCGGAATAATCGTGCTCACGTCTCTCGCTCACAGCAACGTAAACATGACCCAGCCCAGTCTGATGCCCCAACGGGGTCCGTGAGCAGATGGGAATCCACATCACGGAGACCGGAAAGCCGGCTACCTCCTGAAGGCTGAAACTCAGAGGAGAGAGAACATCACCAGGGCTGCCGATGCCCCATGCTGAGGAAGCTCAGATCCTGAGTGAAGGAAGCTGATGGAGGGCCGGGCTCTGAGCCGCAGCCGATGGCAGGGAGCTGCAGTGAGGCCCCGTCCTCCGCCCTGCAGGTGGGACGCCTCAGCCCTGACGTCCTGTGTTAATTTCTCTAGCGAGCAGCAGCCCGGAGTCCGCAGTGCGAGTCCCAGCTCAGCACATGGCGTGTGGCCGGGCACGAGCCCCCGAGCCCCTCGAGCCTCTGGTCCATCCTCCGTGAG